TCGTATAGTGTGAGCTGTAGCTGCGTGCTACGATTGAAAATATCATACAGTGTGTGCTCGGCTTTAGGGAGCTGTGGTTGTAATGAAAGAGAATACACACAGGCAGGTCATCCCAGAGCTGGCTCTTCTTCATCTCCAGGGAAGGCTCTGTTAGGTCAAATTTGGGAATGGGGAATCCTGGGATGGCGTTATGGAGGTGAAAGCCAAACGTGACCAACCAGATGTTGACATCTGCAGTAAAATAGAAAAAAAACAAATAATTGAAGGACAGGCAGAGTTAAAGCATCCCAAAATGAAAGCTTTAGCTCAGGCTTCTGTAATGATTTCATTTAACGGTAAACCGAAGCAGATGGAGTGTCTCCCGCTGCGTTCTTTAGTATCAAACATCCAGTTTATTTCCAATCCAGTGTTTCTCTGATCCATGCAGCTGAATCCTGAATTGCCTGAACTCATTACCTGTGACATACTCTTTGACCTGATGGATCTTGCTGACAGGGTTGTTGCCACGGAACATATACAAGTTAAAGGGCTGCGGATCTTTCCCCACACGCGTCCACGTGCTGATGTCAGGAGTGGTCCATCTGCAGAAGGAGGAGAGGAGGAAAAGCCAGACACTGTGATCAGGTGTGACGCTAACAAAGCACACAGCAGGCGCTTCCATGCAATCACGCGCCATGCTCGGACTAGAAATGAGCAAATAAGAGACGGACGGTTTACCTCCCAGCAGGGATGTCGTAATCTCTGTCTCCAAAATGCAGCAGTCGTGTCAGAGGATCATACAGGCCGCCGTGGAAACCAATCACCAGGACAAAGTCAGGGTTGGAGTCAAAGTAAACCTCGCCGTATGCCGTGTACTGAACCTAGACACACACATATAATCAGCTGAACAGATTGCACGCTTGGCTGCTCTCTTTCTGTTTGGGAGGAAACACTGGTACCTGTTTAAGGAGCAGTCCATTGTTACTGAAGACAGCCAGCGGAGTCCCGGTGTTATCGCACGCGATATAAAACTCATCCCCGCTGCTGATTTCCATGGCAAACACATGACCCTGCAAACACACATTCATTAAGGCTGTGAGGGGATTTATCAGCAGCATTTCTATCCCCACAGCAGAGCTGCTCCTCACAACGTACAAGAGGAGCTTAACACAACCATCATCATTAGTTTGTTCTGCTGAAACCTCCCAAATGTACCTATTCCTCACTGGAGCTGCGCTCTTCAAAGATCATTCACCTGTAAAAAAATGAGTGGGAAAGCAGAGTGTTTGGGAAGCAGAAAACCTGCGATTAGATTACAAACATGATGGATGGAGGCAGCTGGAAATGAGGAGAAACAGAAATAATGTTGTTTATTTTTTCCTCATTCTGACCAGCATGTCGTTCACAAGCTTTTCCTCTAGGAGCCGCTAGTGAACCACCACAGAGTCTAAAACGATGTGGTTCAGTTTGTGTTCACCACTTGTCCCTTATTCTTATTTTTAATTCATAATGCTTACATTTAAACATTAGTTTCCAACTTTGCTAGAAATAAGTCTTAAATTAATTAATTTGAGTAGGTAAATGAGATAATATGCACTTGAAATAAGACAATTCAATTGTGTTTTCTTATTTTAAATGTAAATTGTCTTGTTTCATTGGCAACATGTTTCTATTTACCTCCTCGATTCAGGAACAAATGCACTTATTTTAAGAAAAAAAGGATTTATCTAGATTTAGATTCTTTCCAGTACATCTACTATCCCAGGTTTGTTTTTGTCTGCATTATGTTGCAGTTTCAATCTATTTATATGTTTAGGTTAAAGCTGCTACTTCTGGATTATTGGTTGAACTTGTTTATTTTGTTTCAAAATAAACAAGTTCAACCAGTAATAAATACATATTATTGGTTATACAATTTGTACAATTGCAAATTGTACTATTTATTAGCAAATAAATAAAAATGTATTTATTTGCAAATAAATTGTACAATTTTCTATTTATTTGCAAATTGTACAAATAAATAACAGATATTCTAAGATTTTTTAGATATTATAAGATTTTTTTCTTCTTTCTGCTGCCTTTCATTTCGTTTTAAAATTTTGAAATACATATGTAGTATGTCTGTGTGTGTATATATGTATGTAATGTATACAGATGGATATGTAGGTATGTATGGATGGAGGTGTATTTTTATTTTTTAGTATATCAAAAATTTGATAGGCTGTTTTTTTTTGGTATTCAATGAAATGAATGAATAAAGAAATAAAAAAATAAATAAAAAAATAAATAAAATAAAGAAACAATGTAAGGATATTCATGCATGATTACAATAGGGTTTTCTTTGGAAAAATGCTTTGTTTGTTTTTCCTTTAAGGAACTTTTGAGTTATCTTGTATCACATTGTTTATTTTGCAGTCTCTTTCATTGTGTAGATGAGTTTGTAAATTAGATTAATAATTGATTCCTGTTTCTCTTTTAGACTTTGTTTATTTTTACTACCTGTTTAATTGGGGCTCAGTCCACTCAGGTGCAGGTGTGCTGCCAATTGGAGACACAAACGGTGAGTTCTGAGAAGCTCAATGAAATGTTTGTTGAGTGAAAAGGGATAAATAAAAAAACATCGGAGGAATCTGGAACCGGTGGCTGATGCTGTTTTTTTGATCCTTGACCAAACTACCTCACACACATCCGATCACGCTCTAATCAGATTTCTAACTTCACATGGTATCCTTGTATCATATAAAAATCTAAAAACCAGGAAAAGTCAGCATCTCATACGGAAGTTCATTTGGAGCAGCTAGATAGATGCAGGATTACCTGTTTTGCATGCAGCTGGTAAATCCTGCATCCCACAAGCCAGATTATGACCCTGGAGATCAGCACGACCACCCCCTCCCTCCACCTCTGACCTCTCCTTCCATCCACAGTTGCCTCCTCCATTTACACCCTACCAAACCCCAGGAGAACCAGCCTGACCACCAGGATCCAGGTTTGCTCCTCTGCATTGTAAGGAGTCAGTGGATGCTAATACTTCCCACATTCAAACCCTCTGAGAGGAGGCTGAGGGTTAGACCAGGACCTGCTGGAGGAGCTGCATTTGCCTTCTGACCTGCCATCCTGCAGGATAAGCTGGAGACTTATATCTCACTTGATGCTTGGATGGAGCAAAACTGAGGACAGGCATCAGAGGGGGACCATAGAGGGGACCAAAACACCTCGCCTGCTTCAGCCAGGCCAACAATTCCATCTAACGACCCCAATTCAGAAACATAGACAGGTATCTGGTATTACAGGCTCACAAAGAACTCAACTGACCCCCATTCCTAAAGGGTGGACCCGTTTGTCCGTTTCAATTTGCATGTTTTCTAAACAAAAACAAGGCTTTGTTTTTGGTCCAATCTATAAAACCTCAAAGTCATTGCTGTTTCTGACATTTTGAATGTTCCAGGATGGGAAGTGAAACGTCTTCAGACTTGGAAACAAAGTCCAGTGGATTGTTTTTTAACTTTTTTTGGGAACGACCACAGCAGTTTCAGATGTACAGCAGAAGCAGTTAAAACAACACCATGGCAGTTAATGCCTCCTGTCACCACATGCTCAAAGGAACAGGAGTGAACTCTGAAAAATACAGCAATCAGCTTAGGTAGAAGATGTTAAACCAATATGTCTGATAATCTGAATGAATTGTTTCCGTAAAAAGCCTTGAGATGACGGATTGTGAATTGGCGCAATAGAAATAAACGGATTTAAAATTATTTCAACTGATTATAGTATCATTGCTTGCTCCTCACTTTGCCTCCAAACTTCCTTTATTCTGAAACAGGCGCAATTTTGGGATGTGCGCGCTTCTCCCCAGCTTCCAGCCTGACTCCAGCAAAGAGAGCAGAGAATAGCAGCCTAAAGTTATACTTCTTACAAAAATCAGACAACTTTAGGAGTAATAAACTTCTAAATAAACATGGGGATTGTGGGCCTAGTAGTTAGGGCATAGAGCTTGGAATCCAGAGGTTCTGAGTTTCGAGCCCCACTCCCACAGATTTCCACTCTTGGTCTCTGAGCTATCCCTGATTGCTCCCCGGGGGCCGCACAATGGCAGCCCCATGCTCCCTAAGGTGATGGGCTAAATGCAGAGGTAAATTTCTACAATGTGAGATCCATTCAACTCAGTGTATTTCTATAGCGCCAATTCACAACACATGTCATCTCAAGGCACTTTCCAGTTCACCAGATCATCCAGTCAGATTGATTCAAAGTTTTCTATCTAAGGAAAACCAGCTGATTGCATCGACTCATTGACTCTTCAGCAATCCCTCACACTAAGCATGCTTGTAGCGACAGTGGAGAGGAAAAACTCCCTTTTAACAGGAAGAAACCTCCAGCAGAACCAGGCTCAGTGTGAGAAGCCATCTGCTGAGGCCGACTGGGGTTCATCAATAAAGTTAAATTATTATAATTAGTATAATACCCTTCCCATTTATGGCTGTAGTTAACAGTAAGGAGGGAGTAGCTCCTCAATGGAACAAGAGATCTGCAAATAGGTTTCATTCATGAGAGAAAAACATTCAAAACTTCAGCGCAAATCATCAAAAGCAAAAAAAAGTGTGACGATATTGAACTCGTCTTGTGTTTCACCAAACACAACACAGCGAGTGTCAGCTACCTGCAGATCGTAGTAGAAAGATGTGATCTCAGAGCTGGAGTGGTTGTAGACATGGGTGATTCTTGTTGGGTAGTTTAAGTCTGCGTAGAAAAACTGCAGATGCTGGCCCAGACTGTTCCGAGATGCCACACGCCGACCCAAACCATCATACCGGTACTGAATAGTCCAGCTGGCTGCTTTACTGTACACACGAATTAAAAGACCTGCAAATACACAGAAGCATAAATGTTGAAAACTAATGCTAAGTTGTAAGAGAAAATCATCCCCCGACATTGCTAACAATGTGCTGTACTGTACTCTGGTCCGTCATATTCGGTATAAATGGATAAGAATATTGCTGATCTTGTCCTTTCAGGTATTACCCAGATCTCATGACCATAGGTGAGGGTGGGAACGTAGATCGATTGGTAAATCGAGAGCTTTGCCCAACGACTCAGCTCCCTCTTTACGACGACAGTCCGATACAGCAACCGCGTCGCTGCCGATGCCGTACCGATCTGTCTGTCAATCTCACGCTCCATCCGTCCCTCATACGTGAACAAGACACTTGAACTCCTCCATTTGATACAAGGACTCTCCACATCAGCTCAGTTACTGAGGAGCTCAGTTACTGAGGAGGAGCTCAGAGTAGGGTCGTTGCTCCTACACGTCGGAAAGAGCCAGCTGATGTGGCTCGGGCATCTGCTTTTGGATGCCCCCTGGTCGCCTCCCTTAGGAGGTGTTCCAGGCATGATCCATTGGGGGAAGGTCTTGTGGGAGGCCCAGGACACACTGGAGGGACTATGCCTCTGAGCTGGCCTACAGTAGTGTCTGTGCTGGAGGAGGTGCGTGTTGATTGGGAAGTCTGGGCATCTCTGCTTAGACTGCTGTCTGCGATACCCGGCCCCGGATAAAGCGGAAGAAAATGAATAGATGGATGGATAATAATTCTCACCTTTGGAGTTATACTCAAATATTTCAGTTCCTCTCTGTCTCAGGAATCCATCTTCATCCATTCTGTACTGAACGTCTCCCAGACGAGTGATCCTGTCCCTCAGATCGTAGCGTAGCGGAGTCAGTCGCCCGCTGTTCCCTGGGTTCAGTAAGTGCAGGTTTCCGTTCAGGTCATAGTTATACCTGCAGAACCAGCAACAAAAGCGTTAAGAAGTCACATCAAGCCAGCAGATTATTCCCGTCATGAAATAAAGCTCACCTCCACATTAACTTCTCATTGAGGGAAACCGTCTGCAGCTGCCCATCCACATCATACTCGTAACCATATTTGGTTGTGTTGGCAAATGGTCCAATCTTGATCTCCCGCTTGGTGACCCGGCCCATGTTGTCATACTGAATGGTGATCCAGTACATGAGGGACCTGAAGATCTCATACTGGATCTCCTTGATGCGGCCATGTTGGTCAAAATGCTTGGTGTAGGTCATGACTGCTGTGGAGATGATCTGAAACAGGAATGAGACCTTCAGTGACCAGAAGCCTTCAGACTCAAACTTTACCCAATATTTAAAGGAGCGTCACGCTACATCGTTTACAGATTTATTACAAGTTGTATTTTTAGTTAAATAGCTCAATTGGTATCATCTGAAAACCCATCAGCTGAAACCTTACACTGACAGAAAATCCAGATTCAGTCTGAGCTCTAGGTTTTGAGTAGGTTCAGATTAAAGCTGCTTCTCAGCCGAGAAAGGGAAGTGGAAATGCTCCACTTGTTCCTTTTTTTCCATTAATTAAACATCTTTCCTTGAAGACTCTTTTAAAAAAGGACATCAATCATTAAGAAATCGATGTTGCTGTGCCGTTCAAATCATCATCGGTACTCTGCATGAGTGAAAGACTGACATAGCAATGTTTTTATGATGCTGTCTTATTCTCTGCAGCTGAAACTCCTAAAAACCTTCCAGATATTGTGAAGTAAAAGGTTCAGGGGCGTGTTTATAGGACTTTGATCAGTCCAGAAGTCCACGAAAACGTCTCCCCATTGAAAGTCTATTTTTGGTTCATAACAAATGCTTTCTAAGTCTAAAGCTGCGTTCACGCAGGGCGTGTTTTTCTGCGTCAAAGTGTCTGATTTACATGCAAAGTTTATGGGGACGGTGTCAAATGGTCCAGCGGCGCGTTCTGGCGTTAGAGCATCCGACCCTGGAGTTCAGTGAATTGAACTTTTCCTTTAGGGTTTTAGGTCGCTTGGTGCTTGCCTCGGTGCTCTGGAGGGGCGGGTCTAACCAGTTAGCAACTTAGTGCTAGTAGGTTCCCAATGGGAAATTCCATTGGGACCAAGTAGCACTAAATTGGTGACTTAGAAACGACGCTGTCAAGGAACGCTATGGACAGAGGAAACATGCAAGAGGAGGAGAGTTTAGTGTCAGAGGTCGTGGATGAGTCTACTTCATCATATATTTTTTACTTAAAAGGAGGAAAGCGGGGACAAAGATGTTGTGGAAGAGGACGCCATATAACATACAATAATGTTATTGTATTTATTTAGATGATATTATATAAACATCTTATTGTTCTTCATCCAGCTTTCTGCAGTCGTGACTCATTCCTAATGGGAAGTAGAGGGAAGTTCTGACTGCAGGCATGGTTTGCTGCTCCAGCAGGCTGCTGTCAGACGAACCAGCTGTCTGTGCTTTGGGAGTGGGAGGGGCTTAAAGCATGCTGCGTGCAATGAAGACAGAGACTCCAGAGCTTCGGTGCTTCCATGTGTTGGTTACTAAAGTCTCCAACAGTATGGAACAAAGTTGCTTTTTTAGATTATTTTCATTGTTTGAAAGTAGGCAGAGATGAAGTTGGACAACAAAAGTTGGAATCAGACCCGTGACGGACCAGGGCCTCTCTACGTGGATCACACATATAAACCATGCACCACCCCCACACTCTAGATCTGTTTAATAAAAAAGGTTCAAATAGTCTCTGAATATAATGATCAGTTTTCATGTGGTTCGCTATTACAGCTGTATTTCACCCGCTTTGTGAAAAGAGTAATTCAGCTTAAAAAGCTGATTGGCATTCTGAGTATTTTCTTTCTCTCTTCTGTTGTAAAATCTCTGACTGAAGAGATCACAGGGGAACAAAGTGATTTCATGGTAACTATAAAAATCGACTATATCATTAAAAACTCCACGTCGTAAAATCTACTCTACTGTCGTCTGTCATATCTGGTTTGACTGGATAATAAAGGAGCTCTAAAAGTGGGAGAGCAGCTGCTCCTCCTGCTCCGTTCCTCTGATGCCTGAGCCTGTGGCCATGGAAGCGCTTTTCGATGATTCAACGGGTTCAGCCTAGAATAAAACGCTCCACATGTTTGGATCCCTCACTTCAACCTGCAGTTACCCCTGCAGAACATCACTGATCTATAGGTCAGGTCTGTCTAAATAAGAAGCAGCCCTCCTCCCTCACCTGATTGATGTCGTAGTAAATCACTCCAAACTTCCCAAACTGCTCCACCTTCCCAGAGATGTCGTCGAACTGGTAGAGATCTATAGGGAGCGGCGTCTCATTGATCACGGCCTGCATGCTGGTGACCCTGAAGCTGTTGTCGTAGGTGTAATCGAAGCGCGCGTTCACCATCCCGTCCTCGCTGAAGCGGAATATCTGCCGATCGACCAGCGGGCCGATTTGGCGGTAGCGGATGGAGCAGATGAAGCCTTCGCTTTGCAGGTTGACGGTTTTCAACACGCCGGCGGTCTCGTCGTAGGTGAAGCTGACCCGTGCAGAGTCATAGAGGATCTCTGCCAACTTATTCTGAGGAGACAAATACAGCCATGATGTTCAGCCACAGTCAGAGAACTAATGCTGCATGAAGTCTGTGCTCATTCTCTCTGGTCATTATGCAGACAGATATATAGGAGACATTACCATGACATTACCATAGCATTGGTTAGGTGACAGAAATGAATGGTTTCTACATAATAAACATTAAAACGAACACTGTAAAATATTTAAATGTCTTATAATTAACACTAGAACTCCCAGGGCTGTCATTCTGACGGTTCTGGGATTTTAAAGGGAAAGAAAGGGTGATCATGTTGGCCGTTTCTCAATATGTGTACTGGTGCGTTCTCATGTCCGTGTGTAGTAGTGAAATGTCTGCTTCGGCCCTAGTACTGGTCCAGGTCACAAGAACAAGAAGAGAGAGAACAGACAAACTCCCTGGATGTTGTTCTCGCCTCTCCCTCTTTACCCAGCATGCATCAGAGCAGACTTTTCCATTCTCCAGACTGACAGCTGTCCCAGCATGCACTGCGGCAGCAGCAGCTTCCAATAGAGCGCTCACAGAGCTCAGAGTATTAAGTTAAAAGTTCTCTTTTCTGTTGTTGTTCGATAACAGTACGTTTTAAGATCATTTGAGGCGAGAATATTATACGTTTAAGAGTCACTATATGGCCCATCTACTGATTTAATGTGTAATTTACAAAAAAGATTTCCGAAGTTGAGAGGACCGCGGCAACCAGCGGACCTCCAAGGGTAACGGCAGCCAGGGCTAAAGTTAGCCTGTCCGTAGTAGCCAGGGCTAACGTTAGCCTGTCTGTAGTAGCCAGGGCTAACGTTAGTCCATCTGTAGCGGCCAGGGCTAACGTTAGCCTGTCTGTAGTAGCCAGGGCTAACGTTAGTCCATCTGTAGCGGCCAGGGCTAACGTTAGCCTGTCTGTAGTAGCCAGGGCTAACGTTAGTCCATCTGTAGCGGCCAGGGCTAACGTTAGTCCATCTGTAGCGGCCAGGGCTAACGTTAGCCCGTCTTCAGCAGCCAGCGCTAACGTTAGCCCGTCTGTAGCGGCCAGGGCTAACGTTAGCCCGTCTGTAGCGGCCAGGGCTAACGTTAGCCCGTCTTCAGCAGCCAGGGCTAATGTTACCCAGTTGATTTGTGTTTATCTGACTATGTTAACATTATTCCCCCAATAAATGAAAAAAGTCAGAATTTATTATTATCTAGAGACTATTAATAGCAGGAGGTGAAATGCAGCTCCAGACGAGCCCAGTGAGTGGTGATGTCATCAGTACGCTTCAGTTCCAATTGGCCCATATCCATGCTGCGTGCTCCCGTTCTCCCAGAGTTTACTTGGCGAGAACACAATTCCGTACTAGCGCTCTTGTGAATTGAGTAGTTAGTGACTTTTCCCCTTTCTATATTTCCTTCACTTTCACATTGTTTTTTTAATTAAAACAAAAACATAAATTTGATTAATTTTACCTCGATCTCCCACAGCCAGCATTTTGACAGCTCTATTAGTTAAGTTGCATGTTTTTCCTGCGGATGATTGATGGTCGGTGCCGTTGCTTAACAAACAATATTCTACCTAGAACTCTTTGGCTAATATGGAAAAATGGCTTTCAGAAGAAATCTAACAGAGAAACAGGCTTTACAAATTCTTCAAAATATTGATTCGTGGTTCGGGCGGAGGGGGAGAGACCAATGAGGAGGAAGCAGCTAAGATTCTGACAGCGAGTCCGATGATGATCGCCCACCCCCGGCTAATCGCAGTGACCCATCAGACGATAGTGAAACTTCTCCAAGTTTTGGATAACACTAGACACAGCTCATCCGGCACGCTCAGCAGACCAAAGCCAAACCAGAGCCCGTAGTCTACTATAATCACACACAGGTTGGTGTGGATGTTCTCAGATCAAATTATTAGATAGTATTCTGTTTTTTTTCCATTCGGAAAAATGTCACCCGTCAAATTGACAGCCAGTGGGCTTTCCGATAATAGCAGAATTGTGGGAGTCCTAGTGTTATGGAACCACTTACCTGTCTGCGATACTTGTAAAGAATCCGTCGGCCGGTTCCCAGATGAGCGACTCTAAGGAGCTGGAGGCACAGAAAGACGTGGACAGAGATCTGATCAGACATGTCTTCTACTTGAAAGATCTGCTGGCTTTAATGTGTTTGGGATTTCCTGAGATAGACCAACACTAAGTGGTGCAGAGCTAAGAGGCGGACGAGAAATGTCTGGACACATTTGGAACAAGAAGATATTAAAAAAAGTCCTTTCTGTGTATTTTTACAGGTTTACTAGTGGTTCCTAGAATTTCTAAAAGTAGAATGGGAGGCAGATCATTTAGTTATCAGTCTCCTCTCCTGTGG